AATTTTGTAGAGGGAACGAGTCTTCTATCTGGACTAGCTTTATTTCACCTAGCCACACTGATGGTAATGCGAGTTGCTAGATCAGATTACCTGAATATGTTTGCATGTTTTTCTTGGCCTGCTCCTCTCTACCTTCATTCTGTTCTCAGTGGGCCTCTTTTATTCCTTTAATTCTTCATACCACATGACAAATGCCTTTAATTTATTCCATTGGCCAGCCACTGCTTTCTTCATCCAGTGGTTGCATAACTTCCCCCTCCTGGCATAAACCCCTTGATTTTTCCAGCCTAGCTTCCTTCCCTTCTTATAAAAGAAGAGTGGAGGGGCAGAGGTCTTGGTGGAAAATATAAAACTAACCTCATATTCTGTCTAATTCTTTAGGATTCGTGATAATAGAACTTAGACACTCTGACTTGCTCAGTTTCTCAAATTTACTTTCCTTCCTTCCTTACTCCCTTCCCTCCCCCCGCCTCCCTTTCACCATTATGAGCCTTCTTTGTCTTTATGAAGTAACCCCCTGCCTCTATCTCTGTGTTCTTTCTCCCTATTGAACCGATGGGGACTTCTCTGCACAATTCTAGTATGCCCAAATTTCTTCTCTTTTACCCATAGACAGTCCTCCCTGCACAATTCCGATATGCCCAAATTTCATATACCGCAGTTTAGTTAAATAACACCAGTTGCCCAACAACACAGTTCAAATTTCAATCACCACAATATATTAACTGTGAATAATTGCATAAAATACTAACATCTGTGGCAACTCTTCAGCCTGCAAATCACCACATATATAACAGGTTTGCATCATAATCAGTAATCACTTCACTTCTTTCCAAGTCACTCAGTGATTGGTTGCTGCATATCGTTATTTCACCCTCAGACAGCAAGTGAATAGTTGTGTTGGCACCTCATCTCCCAGAGATAAACCCAGGTGACATATTACAGAAATGGATAATTGAAAGAGGGGCTTGGTCAACAAAGATGAATTGCTAGAAGTGAAATTGAATGTGAATTGAACAATCAGCTATGCTGAGACCTAGGCCCTACCCAAAGCTATGGTACAATGCATAGGAAAAAGTTCTGTGAATATAGCCCTGGCCAGTTTGGCTCAGCGGTTAGTGTCGGCCTGTGGTCCAGAGAGACCTGGGTTCAGTTTCCGCTAAGGGCACATACCTCGGTTGCAGTTTGTCCCCGGCCCTGGTTGGGTCGTGCGGGTGGCAACCCTCGATGTGTTCCTTTCACGTCGATGTTTCTCTCTCTCTCTCTCCCCCTCCCACTTTATGGTTTAAATGATGGAATATTTACTTCTACTACTTTTTGCATTTTAAAAAATTAATTAATTTTTTTTTTGTTACAGATGTTTCTCCTATTTCCCCCCTAGATACCCTCCTCCCAATCTACGCTTTGGATTGAAAATAGTTTTAAAAAAATCTGTCAGTTTGGCTAACATTTAGTCCAAAGTGTTGAAGTTAGTTGCCTCATTGAAAGAAAACAGTAATTACAAGGAGATTGAAGAACTTTACTGCCAATAAAAGATGGTGTCATCATCTGGGGAAGCTGCTAGTGTGGATCAGAATGCTACTGTGAAATTTGTCCCCAAATTTCAAAGATTAGTTAAGGCAGATGTTATGATTGTCAAGGAATGCAACCCCATCAAGAACTTATACAACACAAAAATAAATTCAAAATTATATAAATGTATAACTTGTAAAATAAAATTTTGTTGCTGTCCAAGAAAAAGGAACTTATACAACAAAATATTAGGGTCATACAAAAATATGTGAACTTTCTTATTAGGAGGCTACACAGTGACTTTAAAACCTATGCTTATTTAGCCAGTTAATTGTGGCCAAGGAATTAGGGGGTCAGGAAAATATACATGAGGTTGCCTTGGTGTAGTTCTGTGGGTATGAGGCAGAGGTCCTATCGGGCAAAGGGATTTCACTTTGATGCTTAAATGTACTTATATATTGGGGGGTAAAAATGGGATAAAGCATCCTTAGTTTAGAAAATGACATTTTGCCAGGGAGAGAGAAGTTTAGGAATAGTTATTCTAATACCTTGCCTTGTGAGATTTAGGCTTACTGTAATATTCTGAAGTTAAATGAATATAATACATTGTTTCAGAATAGAATGAAAAGAAATAAGACTTTAAGAAACATGTGAAAACTTGTTTGGAATTGGGTTTTGCATTTTCCTGTACTACCTCAGCTCATATTTATTTTTCTAAATATTTCTTAGGGAGGGGGCAGGAATGAGCAATGCTAGTTTTTCTGATTATTTTGTAGTCTTGTTTATAACAGAATTAGAAAATGTGTAAAAATAGCCCTGACCAGTTTGGCTCAGCGGTTAGAGCGTTGGCCTGCCGACTAGAGAGTCCCGGGTTTGGTTCCTGCTAAGGTCACGTACCTCAGTTGCAGTTTGTCCCTGGCCCCGGTTGGGGTCGTATGGGTGGCGGCCATTCAATGTCTCTCTCTCTTCCTCCTTCTCTCCCTCCTGCTCTATCTGAAGATAAATGCAAAAATGTCCTCAGGTGAGGATTAAAAAAAAATCTGTAAAAATAAATTCAAGTAATAAATTAGGAATTATATTGTCTAAAGAAACGCTTCTTCAAGTTAAAAAATGGGGCGCCTGTATTTATAGCTTGAATTCGTAATTCATGGCTTGAGTTACTTGTAGAAAATGTAATTTTTCAATTACTATTAGCTTATTGATGAAGAAGAAAAGTTAAGAAATTTTGTTTGCTTTTGCCTTAGCTTAAAATGTATTATCTTTTTTTTTTTTTTTTTTTTTTTTATCCTCACCCGAGGACATTTTTCCAATTTTTGTACAGATAGAGTGGGAGGGAGGGGGGGGGGAGGGAGAGAGAGAGGAAGAGAGAGAGAGAGAGAAACATAGACGTGAAAGGGACACATCGAGTGGCTGCCACCCGCATGACCAACCAGGGCCGGGGACAAACTGCAACCGAGGTACGTGCCCTTAGCAGGAACCGAACCCGGGTCTCTCCGGACCGCAGGCCAACGCTCTAACCGCTGAGCCAAACCGGCCAGGGCAACCTTTTTACATATAAAAATAATATATGTTTAGTCTAGAAAACTTGGAAGACATAGGACAGCATAGACTATTTTGAAAATCATTGTCACGTAGTACTGTTAGCTGCTGTTCATTGGTGTGTCCGAGTGCTTTTTAGCCCCTTGGTGCTGCTGTAATAGTTGGTGTACTGTTCTGATTAGTTATGGCTAATGCTGTAGTAGCTGATAAATAATGAGCGAAACCCAACTTTTTGGGAATCATTAATGTTAAAAGTTCTGATAACTGGAAGTTACTTTTTTCTATATATCATACCTTTCTCCCTCTTTAACATTTTACCGTGAACATTTGCCTATGGAAGTGAAACAGATTATTTTCATCTTTTGTGAATTGCTCACTTATGGACTTTGCCCTTTTTCTGTTGGCTTTTCATTTTTTTAAAAATTTATAGTTACTCTTTTTTGATTTTAGAAACTTTTGCACATATACCTCATATCAGGAACAGAAAAAAGAAAAAGCTTACTGCTTCTCTTATTTGTTATTAGGGAAACTCATGCTTTTATGAGTGAGAAGGGGTAGGATAAACTTTAGGTAAATGATCTGATTTAAATGCACTCTTTGCATCTGGAAGTCAGGAAGGTGTCTGACAGACTAGAGACTGCCAAAAGCACAGTGCTTTGGGTACTGATGATTGGTGGTTGGTGTTGGGCAGTTGCAGAAGATAGCTGCTGGAAGGAAGTACCTTGTTGGTTTCAGCACTTCTCAGACTTGGTGTTGCAGCTTGACTGCATTCATCTTAGTGCCAGATAAGGAACCAAGGCTTACGCAAATTTAAGTAAATATTTCCAAGGTCCAGGTAATTAATATTTTAAAAAATCACTTAGATTTTGAGATCAGAAAAGTTTCATGGTTTGACTCAGAGATGTGGATGCATCAACAAGTTGATGAGTATTCATATGCACCAGCAGTGCTTTTTGGGAAGAGTAGAATCCAGTGAAAGTGCAGCTCTGTGAAGTCCAGTATCTGTCAGCAGATTCATTAGGAATAACTTGAAGCATGTTACTCTTACAGTGGTAGAGATAATCAGAGTTTATATTCATACCCGGTTCAGATTCCAGGGGTCCTTGATGAATTGGGTTAGGTGGGGAATATTTGTCCAACTAAAGGTCAAATTAAAGAAGAATATAATACTGACAGATTCTACATCTTGATATGTTCAGAGAAACAAAGTCTTTGCTTTTTACCACTTGATTGCAAAATTGATTTTCACTGCTGATTGGTATACTTTGCTTTAGTGCTCACCTGAACTAGTAGTTCCTGCTCAAGATTGGTTATTCCAACTGTTTGTACCATAGAGGCCTGAGTCACTGTAGTTTGGATCATTCAGTTTTTGTTTTGTTTTGTTTTTTTCTCATCAGCCCTATGTTTGTACAAATATTTTTGGCACAGTGTAGTACACTGAATGGTGTTTATGTGGTTTTATCTGCCTGATTAGACTGAAAACACTTTGAGAGTAAATACCAATGTTTACTGTTTGTAATTCCAAAGTGAGTAGCACAAAATCTTGCACCTAACAAAAGCTTAAAGATAGGTACTTCCCAGAATCTTGTGATTCATTTGTAAACATGCTGGTTTAACAGGAAGAGTGGTGGATCTAGGCAGTAGCATAGTGATGTCTCATGGCTGACACCTGCTTCAAAGTATGACCTTGCACAATTCCAGATCTATCATATAAATCATCAGAGTTGATCTTGCCTGAGTGTAAAACTACGAAATACGTAATGGTCATCTAACATTTTTTTCTTTCTTTACAAGTCTCTGGGCCTAAGGATTGATGTTACCACCAACTTCCACAAGATGGCAGACCAAACACTTTATATATATATATATATATTAGGTTTCAAACAGTTTTTAACACACCTTACCTAGGCTTTTAATTATTGTTAAAATCTTCTTTGCTTTTTCTTTAGGTGGGCGGTATCAAACCGAGAAATGCTTATTGCCCAAAACAGCTCCTTGGAATTTAAGCTACATAGACTGTATTTTATTAGCTTGTTAATGGGTGGAACTACAAATCAGCGAGAGGCATTGCAATATGCTAAAAATTTTCAGCCGTTTGCCCTAAATCATCAAAAAGGTGAGTCTGGAGTCAGATGTTTTTAATGTTTGCAACAGGCTTATAGCCCCCCACTGGAATTGAAGCTTATCTTAATCAGGTCTAATACATATTTGCTAATAAACAAAAACAATTATAGATGATAATCACAGAAAAAGCTGTGATTGGCTCTAGAACAACAACAACAAAAAAAATACTAAAGACTCATAAATGAAAAGTCAGAAAGAGACATTGCATTTTGTGGTGGCGGGGGTGGGGTGGGGTGGATTTCATATTAAACTAAGAGGAGACCTGAGAAAGTGTGAAGTATGCACTTACTCCCTGCTTCCCTGACCCCCGTGCTATTATTGCCACAATAAAGTGTTTCAGGATGTACCAGGTGGCAGCAGTTAACCCCAAGTGTCAGTGTTGGAGTAGTGGGTAGTTCTACAGTCAAATATATGTGATGACCCCTTTTATAACATAATTATTACTCGTCAAGATAATGGTAATTACACTGAGCTATTTATAACAATAAAATAACTGCAAGTTCAATATTTAGTCTTTCTTTTTTCTTCCCTTTTCTTTGTGCTGTTTCTTTAAGATGAAGGGAGAAACCAAGCTTAAAGATGAGCATTATAAAAGACATTGTGAAAAAATTATTTTAGGATGTGTCAGTTGGGGGAGGGATTCTTCCTTTCTCAGCCCATTACCTGCAAGCCAGTTGTATTTCAGGTGTAATCATTCGCACCTCTGACTTGCTGCTGCTTTTGTTTAGACATTCAGGTTTTGATGGGAAGCCTCGTATACTTGAGACAAGGGATTGAGAACTCACCATACGTTCACCTGCTTGATGCAAACCAGTGGGCTGACATCTGTGACATCTTTACACGGGATGCTTGTGCCCTCCTGGGGCTGTCCGTGGAGTCCCCTCTCAGCGTCAGGTATGGAAATTAGACCTCTTACTGAAATATGCATCACATTGACTAGTTCTTAATTAGTTGCCTAGTTCTTGATGTTTAAAGCCGAGAGATTGTCTTTCTGAAGAAGAATGCAGTTGGTATTTCAAGAGATTGTCACAATTGACAGTTGCAGTTTTAGAGCAGTAGTTCTCAGTGTAATCTGTGAACCACTGGGGGTCTTGGAGAGCCTCTCGCACTGGGTTGACATTTGCATATATGGTGCAGAAACATGGTGAGTTAAATTGCTTGAGCCTTAGCACAGATCAAAGCAGTGCTCTCAGAATCCACTGTATTCCTCACTTGCAGCTTAAGACTTGCTGGTTTTACTTAAGAATGTTCTTGATAAAGCATTAAAAATTATTAGCTTTATTGAATCTTGACCTTTGAGTACACATCTTTTTAATATTCTGTGTGACAGAATAGGAAGTTCACATAAAACACTTCAGCTTCATGCCAAACGTGATTAACTCAGGAAAAAAGCACCTGTGTGTTGTTTGAGTTGTGAGCTAATAAGCAGTTTCTTTTTTCATGGAACACAGTTTTACTTGAATGAATCACTGAAAGACAAACTGCAATTATTCATACTCAGGTGTTTAGCTGACATTTTAAAAAATGAATGTGAAGTGTTATTTGCACAACAATGGACACAGACATTAAGAAGGAGGGGGCTGGGAGCAGGGAGGAGGGGGAAACATCTGTAATACTTTAACAATAAATAAATAAAAATAAAATTAAAAATAAAAGTAAAAAATGAATTAAGTGAGCCTGTCACATCAAGGAAAGCAACTGACAGTATCTTTTGCCATAAAGATAAAATTCAAGATTTTGAACTAAAATAGAAATTTTGGAAAACTTCATACCACCACTGTGAGCTTGACAATTTTCCAGTACTTAAAGACTTTTTTGATGAGATTGGTGGTGATATTAATGAGTTTGATTTTTTTATATTGTATAATTAGATGTGTTAATACTTTGAAAATCTTAGTTCAGTATGATCTTAGAAAATCATGCATTAAGTAAAACATTCTTTCATTGGATTTGAATGTAGCACAGGTCAGAAAATTCAATGGTAAGGATTCAGATACCATGGTACAACTAACCTTTAAGAAACTGCTGTTAGTTGAGCTTTGGTATGGAATTAAAGAAGAAAAGCCACAATTATCTGAAAAGGCAAATACATTACTACATATCTGTGTGAGTCTAGATCATTTACTTCAACCAAAATAACACATTGGAGCAGTTTGAGTACAGAGGACAATTTAAGAATTCAGTTGTCTTCTATTAAGCCAGTCATTAAAGAGAGTTATAAGTGTAAGCAAAGCCACTCTGCTCACAGATTTACTTTTGGCTTGGAAAATATGGGGTTTGGAGTAAGAATGGTATTTATAACATGTAATAAGTTTATTATTTTTAAATGAATTAATATTTTTAAAACTTCTTGGTTTTAATTTCTATTAACAATGAGTGATGATAGATAAAATCCACAAAAACAAATGCTCTTTGATATTTAATATTTAATATTAATATTTAAGCAGGTAAGGGGACCTGAAACCAAAAAGTTTAAAAACCTGTTTTAAGAAAATAACTTTTTTAGCTCTTCTTTTTATTTAATTCCTCAAGTGTTTTTAATTCCTGCTATGTGCCAGGCAGTGTGTGGGACACAAAGATAATAAGGTACAATCTGCGTTCAATAGCATGTACTATCTCAGCCTAGGAGACACTCTTGCAATTAACTATAGTTTGTGACTAGGCTGCAGGTTAGGTTGTCTGGGGAACAGACTCTGTAATGGGTGGAGATTGACATGAAGTTTATTGGGATCAGCCCCTGTGGAGGATGAAAGCAGAATTAGGCAGAGGGAAAAAAGTTGGGATGTAATGCAGGCTAACCAAAGGATTCAGCCCATTTCTAAGGAGCTCTGGAGCTCTGGTGGGCCTGTGGAGTTGGTTCAAATTGGGACAGCAGGGCTGGGCTTTTGTATCCACATGGAGCATTCATCAGATGTGACCTCGTCAGGTGGCTTCTTCAGTTTAGGGCAGTCCTGAAGAGGGACTTAGGTGAGAACTGACCACCTGTACTCATACCCTGAGCAGGGGTGAAATGGGTCCAAAAGTAACCATGCAAGAAAATGTTTTAGAATGTCACTAATGTTAGGCATGTCATTGATGATTGATAGGTAGAGCCCATTAAATATGGTGGTTCTGCCCTGGCCGGTTTGGCTCAGCGGTTGGAGCATCGGCCTGCGGTCCGGAGAGACCTGGGTTCGGTTCCCGCTAAGGGCATGTACCTCGGCTGCAGTTTGTCCCCGGCCCTGGATGGTCGTGCGGGTGGCAGCCACTCGATGTGTCCCTTCACATCGATGTTTCTCTCTCTCTCTCTTCCTCTCTCTCCCTCCCACTCTATCTGAACAAAAAATGTCCTCGGGTGAGGATTAAAAAAAAAAAAAAAAATATGGTGGTTCTGTAAAATGTAAAACCTATTTGTGTGTGCACGTGTGCTAATTTAGCAGAGCAGAGGGCTCTGTGCCCTGTGCAGTGTCTAGAGCCCTCTGCTCACGAAGTCTGGAGGAATTGATCATTCTAGGACCAGCCTGTCTGACACTGGCCTTCCACTGACATTTCTTGGTCTGTTCTCCCAGTTTCTCAGCAGGTTGCGTGGCGCTGCCTGCTCTAATTAATATTAAAGCTGTGATTGAACAGAGGCAGTGCACTGGAGTTTGGAACCAGAAAGATGAATTACCCGTGAGTTGCATTTTCTCTTGTTTATTTACCTTTCCTGCCATTAGAAGAATGTGAATGTTAAGAGTTTAAAATGTCGGTCTTGCCTTTTAACTGGGGAACATTATTTTAGCTGGTTGACAGGGACTCTTTTATGCATATAGTGACATGATTAAATAATAGAAATGGAGAGCAAATACGTTTTGGAGGCACTGGAGTTGTTTTCTTAAAATTTTGATGTAGGGTGGCAGTGAAAGCTCTTGGAGACACCAGAAGCCAGGAGGGCGTAGCACGCAGTGTGCTCTGCATGTGACAGAGCACTCAGGCCACGCTTTTTTTAAACGTAAGAGCAATGAGTCCGTTTGATTGGATTTAGTTTTACCTTAAGCAGTGTATTTATGAGATCGTGGGTTTGAGCTGGTTTTATAGGTACATAGCTATTAAATTAAAGATCATCGTTGTGACACTTGCAGTTGTCAGTGGTCCTCCAGTCCTGGGTGTCCAGTGCTGTCCTGGAGCAGGCCATGGTTTTACACATGAGTTCTAGTCACTTGCAGCTTTCCAGCTTCCCTAAGTAGTTTACCATCTCTGAAATGGAGGCCATCTTCTCTTTTAGGACTATGAAAGCTAGAGGTAACATAGATATACTTAGAATAACATGGGACACCTACATGGAGTGACAAAGGTCATTGTAGGTGTTTCTCACCAGGCCTCTGACAGGCACTACACTTTGGAATTATTCCTGCATGGTTGTATCACAGACCTTAAAGGGCTAAAATGTACATTTGGCTTTAAGTATATCGATTGAATTTGCAAGAGAGTTTGACTTCTAGAGCATTGATTTGCCTTTGTCTCTCAACTCTTAGACATCAGAATTTGGTTTAAAAGTAGTGCCATATATAATTTTGAAGGGGAGAATTTTCTCAGTCTGTTGAGATTTTACCTCCCTGTACTTGTCATCAGTTTGGCTCAAATAACTCATAAAAATTTTCTTTAAAAAAAGGTAATTTTGAAAGTTAATTTAGTATTATGAAGTAATGTTTGAATCTTTAAGGCTGTCCCTCTCAAGTTAGAAGAGCGCTGTGAAAAGGTAGAGGCAGGAGTAGGTGTGGTCACTGCAGTGCATACTAATGTAAAGGTGTTCTGAGGTGGAACGTGAGCCTTTTGACTTTTTTTTAACAGATTGAAGTGGACCTTGGTAAAAAGTGCTGGTATCACTCTATATTTGCCTGTCCCATTCTTCGTCAGCAAACAACAGATAACAATCCACCCATGAAATTGGTCTGTGGTCATATCATATCAAGAGATGCCCTGAATAAAATGTTTAACGGTAGCAAGTAAGTGTCTGGCTATTTAAATGTTAGTAAAAGTTTTTCTTTTGTAACTTAGTGGGAGGATGAGAAGTAACAAGGATAAATAAATGTAGCTAGAATTTAAAAATAGATTTCATAACTATTCATTTAGCTTGGTGGGTGGTATCTGATTTTGTCAGCCTCTTTAATTTGTTCATGAATTTGGTGATCAGATTTGTAAGCATGATCTCTAACTCCTTTTTCCACTTTTTGCACAAATGTTCACATGTTCTGTCACTTAGTGATATGTCTTGGAGATCTTATATATGCTACAGAAAAGCCCTCTTTCTCTTTTTTTTAATTCCTCACCCGAGGACATTTTTCCATTTTTTGTTCAGATGGAGTGGGAGGGAGAGAGAGAGAAACATTGATGTGAAAGGGACACATCGAGTGGTTGCCACCCGCACGACCCAACCAGGGCCGGGGACAAACTGCAACCGAGGTTCGTGCCCTTAGTGGCCACCGAACCCGGGTCTCTCCGGACCGTAGGCCGATGCTCTAACCGCTGAGCCAAACCGGCCAGGGCTCTCATTCTCTTTTTAAAGTTGCAGATTATTCTACTATGTGGAAATAATGGTCATTAAACCACTTCCTTATTGATGAGCATTTAACTTTTGTTATTGTAAAGTGAATTACCTTATCTATATGTGATATACAAATTAATGGAATTGAAATGGTTGATTCAAATGGTATATATATATATTTATAATTTTTATATATTATGAGCCCAACTTCTTACTAAAAATGCCTCAAAAGCCCATTTCTAACTTAGGCAGCTAGAAAATTGTTCACTGGAATTTACTTCGGACCCATCATGGTAAAGCCTTAGGAAGGAGGCCCTGGCATGTAACAAGGTGTTTGTGCCTTTCCCAGACCATGCAGCCATGCTGGTTTTGTGTATCCCACTACAGGGCATGTCAGCTGCTCTTGGTAAGCTACGCTGTAGGCTCAGCAGTTGGCGTCAGATTTGCTGCACTTGAGTGGACTCTGTGACCAGTAGATTTGAAACTCAATTGGAGACAGGTGCAACCTAAACCTTGAAGAAAAAATGGATTTATTCTGAAAACCCCAAAAGCAGTTTTCAGAACAATTGTCTTTGCTTTGTTTACTGGAGAAGAGCCTTTCAGTTTAGGGTCTGGCTTGGATAGTATTTATTTGTGACCCTTCAAAGCGTGGCTGTTATATTAAGGGAAAGCACAGTTCATCCTCAAAATACAGACATGTTTGTGTGTCAGTCTGTGAGTGTATAATTGTTAAAGATATTTTGTAACTATGTGCATTTGAATGCTCAGTACTGATCCTGTTCCTTCATTCAGTGTTTTTTTTTCCCTTGTCTTTAGATTAAAATGTCCATATTGTCCAATGGAACAAAGTCCAGGAGATGCCAAACAGATATTTTTCTGAAGAAATAATTTTAATTTGCAATTTGTAAGTGAAACTGAATTGTGGATGCGTTTCAGAAGAGAATGTTCCATTTAATGCAGCTAACCAAGGACTCCCGTGTTTATATAAGCTAATGCTCTGAAAACTTTGCCAACATTTTAGTGCACACACTGAGGGAGTGTTCCAGATGAATATTACCATAGGGCTTTATTATATTCTTGGTCTTTATTTCTGATCAAGTAAATACACCAGCAGTTGTCATTCAATGCAGGTTTTTGTACTTAATTATATGGTGATTTTTTTACTTTTTAAGAGCAGAAACAGAAATTGACCTCCCGCCATGTGATTAGTATTTCTCCTGCTTTTACTTTTGTCATTTTCTTGATAACTGTAAGCTTTGGGAGTGTTTGTGAAAAAGTTTTATTTCCTGTTACATGTACATAATTAAATGAAAATTCTTCATAAAAAGTTTGAAAAACTGAATTGTGGTTATAAAACTAATTTTTTTTTGCTTAAGGAAGAAAGCTGTGATAGGTTTCAAGTTTGCTTTTTAATCTTTTACTCTGCTCCAGTTCTCACTGAAAAGTCAGCAGATCTGCATTTCAGCTCTGCTGGTAGCCTGGCTGCCTGTTTTTAAAATTCCATCATGAATTTAGCAGGTTGGCGTGGGAAGTCTTCCGCTAGAATAGAGTGGAAGGAGCACTATTGTTTCTTTGCTTTTATTGCCAAGAGGTGCTTGTTTTAGAAGTGTGTTCAATAAAATGAATTTCTGAAGTTAGAAGTGTTCTTAAGTTGATATTTGCTCTCTTGGTCTTAGTAGCCCTGTTCTCTGAAATTTGCCTTCAGGACTTGGCTGTCTGTTGCATTTGTATATCATTGCAGACACAGTATTGTGTGTGTATATGTGCACCAGCATCAAACATTGTGCATCTTGGAAGGGAAGAAGCATGTTCCAGTCCTAAAATGCAGTAACCAGAGTCATTATTTTAAATCCTTAAAGTTAGAATCTAGCAAATTTTCTGTAGTGCAGAATATGTTTATTGTTGTTTTTGTATTTGAATGGTATACTGTTCTGCCTCTCCTGCAGCGTGTATCATCTCATTGACTGTGAATCTGTATATTATTCTAATGGATACACAATGATCTTTTCTCTTATGAGGTATCTTCATTTAATGCACTATCCAGAAATAGCCATGTGTCAGAGTCTTTCTCTGTATGACGAACTACATGGAAAAGACTTTTCGTGGACATAATTCAAACAAACCTGTTAAGTTACTTCATTATAAGAAGAATGTTATATGGATATCACCAAATATTTTGCAACTTTATTTCACCTGACATGGAACTGAACATCAATATAGGAAATCTTTCATGAGAAAATGAAAAAAGAAGAAAACAGAAGCAAAGAGAACCATGACACTTCACATTTTAAACTATAGTTCGACTTAGATTAGGGGGAGGGAGAGAATGGATTTGGTGCTGAGTTCATTGGAAAGTGGCAGCATTTGCAGTAGTATACCAGCTTGGATGGTTGGCCCTGACATGCTTACCTGGGAGACTTGGGTTTTGTTGATAAAATCGGGGGTGCTGCAGAAAGTCCTCCTTGACTGATGTGTGTGGCCAGGCTTAGGTGGAGGGCTACTGTGTGTAGGTGAGCCAGGAATCGTGGTCAGCCTGCTCAGAGTGCTTGCTTTGTTCGACCTCAGTCAGCCTCACAGCGACTTTTGCTCCGTGTTTCTGCTTTCGTGTTACAGCCCTCTCTAAAGTTCGCCCTCTGTCCACTGAAGCAGTGAAGGAAGAAAGCAGAGAGAAGCAGCCCCTTGGACTCCAAAGGAAGGTGGAAAATTCAAGGCTGTACTCTGGTTGAGGATGTAAAACTGGTTTACTATATATTTTTTTCCTTTGAATTAAAACCCAGAGTGTCTTTTTTGTGTAAGTTTTTTCTTGCTAGGCCAGATTTAGCTTTATTCGTAGAGTATTTGTTCTCACCTACCACCTCAAACACCTACGTGGCATTTAGGCTTCACACAGGGTTTGAACAGTGCGGACGTTGCTCTAGAGCAGGGGTGGGGAACCTTTTTCCTGCCGAAGGCCATTTGGATGTTTATAACATCACTCGAGGGCCATACAAAATTATCACCTTAAAAATTTGCCTGCTATATTTGGTCAGGTTAATTTGGTGAGGGGTGTGATGTTAGCTGGTATTGATTTCACAAGCCTTACAGGGCCCGAGGGCCAGATGTTCCCCACTCCTGCCTAGAGGCTGGTGGTAAATATTTTCGGCAGCCAGAGACTCAGTTGTCTCAGGCCACTTTCAAAGGACAAAAGCCAGAGCTCTGCTTTGTCCCTCTCCCGGTGTTGGGAATCCTGTTGACAGTTTCCTGTGCAAGGTCCTTATAGTCGTACTGGACTTGATCTGACCATTTAACATGAAAATTATGTCTTGTGACCTTTAACTAAATGCATGGACTTAAAATTCATTGGTGACTAAATGTGAAGGCAAGGTGGATTTGAAGAGGCCAGACCTTAACCAAAGATACTAAAATAAAATAGGATGTCCTTCCTACCCTGGTAACACCTTCACGGTGGTGTCAGGACCATGTCACTGAGGCCATGGCTGTCCGCGGTGTGGGAGGGTGCTCTTTGTCACATTCTGCCTTCCGCTTGCAGAAAGAAGGTCACGATAGAACCAAGGTTTCTTACAGAGTGGTTTTAAAAGATTCCTTTAGGAACTGTTTTCACTGATCAGTCATGGTCTATGCTAAACCAATAAAACCTTATCCGATCCTTAGATTCTGCTTTGGCCAGAGCGTCTGTGCTCTCGCAGTCTGAAGTACAGTGGCTGAAATTGTCTTTCACTCTTCTTTCTCCGTGGTGCGATCATCACAGATGCCGTTTCTGTTGTTTTAGTGGTGATTATGTGAGACTTACAATACATAAATGAACGGGTATAGGTGCCTCTTGATTTTAAAATTTTGAAGAAAAGAGCCACCTCACATTCATAGGGTGTGTGAGTATTTTATGAGTGTATGAGCATTTAATTGAAAATAAGCAAGTTATGAAGTAAATCTTTTGTTTTGATTTTTCTATAGCAGCTGTGTATACAGAGACACTAAGACCCACACCAGCTGATGTGGGGAACGAGGATCCTTTTTTTGTCTCCAGGTATTCCCACAGGTTATGCAGTTTACGTTCAATATTTATGCTGTGAGTTTTTTCCACCTCAGTGATTTCAGCCTTCGGGATAGTAGTAGATACTGCAGAAAACCAAGAACCCTTGGTTATCCGCACAAGGCAAGCTGCTGGTAGACATTAGCCCTCTGGTTTTCCAGCTCAACCTCTGACTTAAGTGGACTGCCAGCCAAGCTGGTTCATTGTCTCAGTTAAAAGACTCAGGTTATTTTCAGGGAAGGCATGGAGGCATGATTTGGTTCAATTCATCCCTAGGATGTGTAAGGTAAAGACACAAACCAAATACCTTTCATTACTTAACGACGTCCATTGTCTTCGGGAACACTCGAGTGCGTGGGCGCGGGAGTGTTAGCGAGGACACACCGCGGTGCTCAGAGGCCTGTCCAGCGGCGGCGGGTTTTACGTGGTGCAGTAGTGTTTAATATGAGCAGGTACTAACTTCATAGACTGTGTCTTGAACTAGAATTGACTAAATACCAAAAAGGGAATGACAAATGTATTTTAATAGCAGATAAGGCGACTAGTTTTAGGGCGAGTTTTCCACTGTTGATTTTACTTCAAGATATAGGGAGAGAAGACAAAGTTTTGTTTTCAAGACATTTCCCCCTACAGTTCAGCTGTAGTAAGCACATGCTTCATTTACTTCCAAAGAGGCAAACGCAGCTGGAATTGACTTATAGCACATGCTTTGTTTCATGTTATGGATGAGGACCTACACTCTTACTTTAGCAGTCACTTAACATTCTCCAACAAGGCAGATGGGTTCACTAGGATTTAGTGCCTGATCTTTTCTTTTGGGAAGGGGTGGGAGTGAATGTATTGGGGATGGGAGGGAAGCAGGAGAAAAAAATGGGAGTGTGAGTGAGTATGCATGTCTCTGCAATTCACCATTACCCCCACCTGTGTCTAACAAGGAACAGGTATTTAATGTATTTTGCTCATGACTGCAGTGTGCATGTTTTTTTCCCCCTCCGTGTTCTCTAAACGTACACTAAGAGGATTCATCAAATCATCTTGTTCAGATGGCTCAGGATTGTATTTCTTTTGCTTACCCTGTGCTCTTGGGTTCTATAGTATTTCTATAATTATGTAACAAGAATAGTGTTGCACTGTAATCTATTATATAGAGCTATATGTATGGAAAATTTTGATCAGTTTTTTAAGCAATGTATCCTGTTTGCAAAGGCACAATAAAGTTGCATATTATAGACAATAGGCAATAAAGCTAACAATAAACCTTATTTAACACAAACCATATTCATATTCTCAGTTCATTTGATTTTGGAAAAACTCTAGCATATCCAGAAGTTTCAGGGGTTTCATTTTAATTTAAAAAGTTCTGATAGATTTAATTTATAAATTTCAGAATAGAGTTTTGGGAACTATAAGAAATACTTTGTTAATGTGTGTGTCTCTATGTCAAACACATGGTTCTCCTGTATATATTTTTTAAAATTAAAGAAATGGACATTTAAAAAAATCTTATGGAACCAGTTTGTATACATGTGACCAGAGGTATGAGGGAGGGAGTATGGAGGTGTCAACTGTGAAAAGAGACATTGCTGAATGCCTTTGCTGAGGGTCTGCATATAAACATTTAAGAAAATATCTGTTGCCCTGGCCAGTTTGGCTCAGCAGTTAGAGCGTCGGCCTGCGGTCCAGAGAGACCCGGGTTTGGTTCCTGCTAAGGGCGTGTACCTCGGTTGCAGTTTGTCCCTGGCCCTGGTTGGGTCGAGCGGGTGGCAGCCACTCGATGTGTCCCTTTCACATTCATGTTTGTCTCTCTCTTCCTCTCTCTCCCCACTCTATCTGAACAAGAAATGGAAAAATGTCCTTGGGTAAGGATTAAAAAAAAAAGAAAATATCTGTTGTCACCATCTCATCCTGTTTCTGTGCCACTAGCAATGTGAGGAGGAGGTGGCTGCATACAGTCCCCAGTTTCTAAGAAGGTGGTTACTTTAGAGTTTCCACTAACACCCATGCTGTGGATGGCTGGGACCCTGCCCTGCTCTCTGATCGGAGTGATGAACCCCGAGTGGCCCTGTCCAGGCTGCGACAGAGGGGGACTAACACTCGGCACTGCCAGGGAAGAGCAGAGGTTGAGTTGTCCCCTCCTACTCAATGAAAGGCTAAGGTAAGAGAGACTAAGAATCTATTTGTGCTGCTTTTGTGTATTTTTTTTTTTTTTTTTTATCCTCACCTGAGGACATTTCTCCATTTTTTGTTCAGATAGAGCAGGAGAGAGAGGAAGAGAGAGAGAGAGAGAGACATCAACGTGAAAGGGACACATTGAGTGGCTACCTCCCGCACAATCCCAACCGGGGCCGGGGACAAACTGCAACTCAGGTACGTGCCCCTAGCGGGAACCGCACCCAGGTCTCTTTGGACTGCAGACTGCCACTCCAACTGCTGAGCCAAACCGGCCAGGGTTTTTGTGTATTTTTTAGAAAGAAAAAAATACATTCTTGTCTGGGATTTTAGGTTTCCTACCTATGGGAATCATAGGTCCCTCCCAGTCATATTTGGAGCTAGTGGCCAGGTGGTCTAGACCAGGCCTGACAGGCCAGGCCGAAGATCTAACCAACTATTCCTGCAACATTTGGGGCTCCCTGGGACTCAGTGTGGTGGGTGGCAGCATCGGCATCACCTGGGAGCTTGTGCAACATGCTGAACGTTGGGCCGTGGTGCAGACCGACTGAATCAGACTGCATGTTCGTGAGCAAACTGGCTCCTACAGGGAGCCTTCCAAATGCTCCCTGTCTAATGAAGTATCCTCCCTCTTATATGTGGCGGGGAAGGACCACGTGTACCAAGCACGAGGAGTACATGTCTTTCCTTTTCTTGATGACTTAAGTCCTGAGTCATCAAGAAAAGTTAAATTTAGTGTGCTTTGAGAAAACTCATAGTGCAGTTATTTTAAAAAGCAGTGTATTTCTTTGAGTATCTGGGTAATTGAGGAAGTGTTATATCTGCAGCATGACAAAATGTATATTTTACTTCCTCCCCGCCAAAATGGGGAAGGTTGAACACCGGAGGTATAAAGTAATGGAGTTTTGTAATGGTAAAAGAAAGACTGGAATTGCACCTAAGACGAAACAGTAACTGGGATGCCCCTCACTCCCCAGTAGAGAAGCTTGTTGATAAACATTCCCGCAAACAGAAATGGCACTTCCCAGAGGATGTGCTTTTCTAACTTTTCTTTTCTGGCACCCTGTAAGAAATCAGTGGAATACCACAACCCTGTATACACATAAACTTGTATTTCTGAAACAGGTTTTCCAAAACTGTGATCCTTCTAATGTGTGGTACACTGATATTTCCCGTCATTCCTATTTAATGCTCATCAAGACTGAATTGATTCCATGACTTGCTAATAGGTCAAGATCCACGGATTTAAAACCTTGCATTAAGGGACAATGATGAAATGATCCATTCACAAAACTACTTTGAAATCTGCGTCAATGTATGTATGTATGATAGAAATTATTATTTTTTATCCTCGAGGACATTTTTGCATTTATCTTCAGGTAGAGTAGGAGGGAGAGGGGGGAAGAGAGAAAGAGAAACATCGACGTGAGAGAGAGACATTGAGTGGCTGCCGTCCACACGACCCCAACCAGGGCCGGGGATAAACTGCAACCGAGGTACATGCCCTTAGTGGGAACTGAACCCGGGACTCTGGTTGGCGGGCCAGTGCTCTAACCACTGAGCAAAACTGGACGGGGCAGAAAGTATTTTTTATCTTTTTCCAAAAAAGCTCTTGTAGTGGGGTGTTTCTTACCCTCCTTTGGTTTTGAGGTGCTTATAGCTTTTTAGAGAGTTTTAAAATGTTTCATTCACCTAACTTTAAAAATTAAAAACAGTATAAAATACTCAATATTAGCTGAGCTATCCTGAAAATAATACAGAGTTTGGTGTATGGGACTGTGGTTGAAAAAGAGGCCACATACTAAATAAACCTGAC